ATTAATCTTTTTACTCTATTTTTTTAGTGATTACTCTAGGGATTACAATATACATATGAGTCTTACCTTTTCAAAGTCTACTTTAGAATTGATATTTTTGATGTATTACAGAATTGTGCACCTGAAACCTATGTAACTTTAATAACAATTGTCACCCCAATAAACTTTAATTAAAAAAAAAGGATTGATATTTTACCACTTTAAGTGGAATATAGAATCCTTACCACTGTATAGGCCCCTTTTCTCTCCCAGTTTTATATTGTCTTTTTTTAAAAACTTTATTGGGGAGCAGCCATGGTCATTGGCTAACATTGCTTTCATGCTACAGTGGCATAGTTGACTCTTTCAAGGAGGGTGCTGCTCACAGTGTCCCGTGCGGGGATCGAACCGGCAACCTTGGTGTTATCAGCACCACACTCTAACCAACTGAGCTAACCAGTCACCCCTATATTGTCTTATGTATCTACAGTGAAAACCTTATCAGATAATGTTTTGATTTTTGTTTTCAATGTTATACGCATTTTAAAGAATTGATGAAAAGATAATGGTCTATTTTATTTACTCAGATTACTTACCATTTCTGTCCTTTCTTCATTCCTGAAGTTCCAAGTTTCTCTCTCCTATCACTTTCCTCTGTCTGAGGAACTTCCTTTAGCATTTCTTTTAGAGAAGTTCCAACAACGAATTCTCTTTAATTTTCCTTAATCTGAGCGTATCCTGTATTTCATCTTCATCCCTGAAGGGTTTTTTGCTGATTATAGACTTCTGGGTCAACAATTCTTTTCTTTGAGTCCTTTAAAAATGTTGTACCACTTCCTTCTGGCCTTCCTGATTTCTGACGAGAAATCTACAGTCATTTGAATAATTGTCTCTCCTTATAATGAAGTGCTTTTCCTCTGAATGTTGGATTCTGATGTGTCTGAGCACAGATTCCTTTGAGATTATTTTGTTTGGGATTTGCTGAGCTTTTTAAATCTTTAGATTTGGACATTTGGACATTCCCAAACATTTTTTCAAATATTCTTTCTGCACTACACTCTGATTCCCCTGTTCATTTTTTTCAATCTTTTTCCCCCTTCTCTGTTGTTGAAATAAGATAATTTCTATTGATCTGTTTTAAGTTCACTGACTCCTCTGCCATTGCATTTTGCTATTGAGTTCATGCAGTGAAGTTTTAATTTTGGTTATTGTATTTTTCATTTCTAAAATATTTTTCATTTCATTTCATTTGGTTCTTCTTTATATCTTTTATTTCTTTGTATTTTTTCCATTTATCTGATTCTTGGAGCATAGTTGTTAAGCTGCTTTAAAGCCTGTCTGATAATTCTAACACATTTGTCATTTTAAGTTGGCATCTATTGATTGTCTTTTGCAAGTTGAGATTTTCCTGGTTGTTTGTATACCACGTAGTTTTGGATTATATCATGGACATTTTGAATATTATGGCGTGAGACCCCGGGTCTTGTTCAAATTGTGAGGACAATGTTGATTTTTTAAATTTTATTTTGTTTTATTTTTCTGTAGCAGACGATCAACCTACTTAGGTTCAGGCTGCCGTTCCAACCCATCTTCTGTGGGCTTTGGTTCAAATGTCATCCCAGTTTTCAGAGCCTTTATAGTACTGTTCAGAACTTCCTGGCATGTGCACTTCCCAGTGGCTGGTCTGGGACCTGGTTGGCAGTTAATCCCATAGTTCTGTTAGCAAAGCCTTTGATTTGCTGTTTAGAGTCAGATGCATGCGTGCATAGTTCAGAGGTGAGCCAGACGCTCACAGCCCACTTTATAGAATCACCCTCTTGAGCGTCTCCCCTTCACAATCGTCCTGACACTTTTTGTTTGTTTGTTTTTTTAAAGATTTTACTGGGGAATTGGGAGAGAAGAACAGTGTTGGGGAATTGGGGAATGGGAACAGCCAAGTTGTTGTCCTTTAGACCTAGTTGTGCAGCTAGCTCAGCTCCATGTCCAGTTGCGCCACTCAGCTCAGGGTGCCGTGTCCAATTAGTTGTGGGTCGATGTAGCCAGCATCCCATGCGGGAGTCGAACCAGCAGCCTTGTTGTTAAGAGCGCACGCTCTATCCACTGAGCCATCCGGGCGTCAGCTGAGCTCAAAGTGCGGAGTTCAGTCTTAGTTGCAGGCAGCCGTAGCCCACCATCTCGAACAGGCAACCTTGTTGTTAGGAGCACGTGCTCTCACCAGCTGAGCCATCCTGCCACCTGTTGGCAGCTCAGCTCGGGCGCAGCATCACTGGCCCATGTGGGAATCGAACCGGCAACCCTGTTGCCCAGAGCTCGCACTCTTGAGCAAGCTCTTAACCAACTGAGCCACTCGGCCAGCCCCGTCCTGACACTGTTTCACTTTCTGGGCTCCCCCTTCCATCCTCTAATCAGAAGCTCGGACTTTAGTTTCCCTGCACGTCCCGTGACTTTCTATGGCTGGAATCAACTGGCAGAAGGACATGAAGCGGGGAAGCAGCGGGATTCCATCCAGACAGTTGGGATCATGGCTTCTGTGGTCAGAGACAAAGATTCCCCTCCTTCTGAGCCTGGCAGCTGCTGCCATCACCCCGGTGGCACCATGGATGTGGAACCTCTCTGTTGGGCTTTTACGGTTACTTTTTTTAATGGCATAAAATCCTACTCATGGATCCTGGCTCTGTGACATGATCATGAGATTAGAAAGCCTTCTGAAGTTCCTTAAAAATCATGCTGAGATCGTATTTGGGTAATTTTGCCTGGAAAGTCTTGGTTCCTGCTTTTTCACATATTAGCCGTGTGACCTTAGGAAGGTCTCTTCCCCTCTCTGGGTTAATGCTTTTTCTTTGAAAGCTTCCTGAGTCAGCACAGATGTCAGTGTGCATACATACCTTTGGGTGGAGCGTGTGGAGGGGGTGCTGCCAGCCAGCATAGATGCTATGTGTTTGCTGTGTGTTGTTGTTGTTATTTAATTCCAGCACAGCTCCTATTATATTCCAGAAAAAAAACAAACCAGAAAAAGAGATCAGCTTGTTTAGGTATCTAGGAGTAGAATATCTCATATTGTTATGACAGTTCTGCCTGTATGTTTAATAATACAGATACCATGAAAGGCCAGAAATGTCCGTGAACACAGATACCAGCCAACTGTCATTCAGATTATGGGTTTGCGCATGTAACATTGGGATCTGTGGTTTGCCATAAATATATCAGATTCGTGACTTTTCTAGGGAATTGTTGCCTTGATGGCCTGTGCTTCACTGTCAGGTTTTTTCTCCTGACTTTTTATATGATTAAAAAATTTTTGAAACAATCTCAAAAGCTCAAATACAGTATACGGATCATTTTTTTTTTCCTTGAGTATAAGTTGTCAGCCAGATGCCCCTGTGTTTCCTTCAAAGGACATTCCCCTGGATAATCACAGTATATCCATCAAAATCAGGAGATGACCGCTGATACATTACTACTAATCCTCAGACCTGTTCACCTTCTACCGGTTGTTCTAATAATGTCCTTTATAGCAAAAAGGATGCAGCACAGCATCCCTTGTTGCTTTTTTTTTTTTTTTAGCTGAGCCACCTGCTGGCAGCTCAGCAGTAGCTCAGCTCGGGCCGGGACTCGAACCACTGTTGCTCAGAACTCAAACTCTTGAGTGAGCTCTTAACCAACTGAGTCACTTGTCCGGCCCCCTTGTTGCATTTTGCTGTCACATTTCCTTAGTCTCTTTCAGTCTAGAATGGTTCCTCAGTCTTTCCTTGACTTTTATGGTCCTGATACTTTTGAAGATTACAGGCCAGTGTTTTGTAGAACGGCCCTCAGTTTGGGCTTGTCTGATGTTTGCTCAGGACTAGACTCGGGTTCTGCATCTCTGGCAGGAACCCCTCAAAAGGGTTGGGGCTGTGTTCTCATTGATCCCGTTAGGTGGTGTGGGCTGTCGATTTGTCCCATTACTGGCGGGGTTCACTCTGATCACTGGAGTGAGGTGGTGCCTGTCAGGTTTTTCACTGTAAAGTTAGTCTTTTCACCTTTCTAGTTAATAAGTACTTTTATTTATTTATTTCTTATTATTTTTTACTTCATTACTTCATTATTTTAAATAAATATTGAGGAGCTTTGAAGTATAAATACTGTGTTTCTCATCAAACTATTTCTTTATATCACTGCGGACCCATGATTTTCCATTTCCTCCAAAGGGATAAATTTGGTACTATCCTTATTTATTTTAGTGCTCAAATTGTCCTAGTTTGGCTAATTGGAGCCCCTTCAAGTTGGCTTCTGTGTCCTTTTGTTATATCCCTCTTACTCTGAGCATGTTTTTGCTTTCTGACACAGTAAGATTTTCTGGGCTCCTCTTTTTATTTCTCAACTCGAGCTCTAGAATCAGTCCTTTCTCCAACGTGCCCTGGTTATTTTTAGTGGGGAATGGTATACTTTTTCTGTTTAATTTTTTTCAGTGACAAGAGTTTACTTTAAAACCACAAATGCCACTGTCTTGTACCAGTTTTCTTCATGTGGTTATTGTAACTTCACTCCAGAAATTGGAAGTGGTGTGATATGGGGGAGTGACCGCTGCTGAGAGTGAGGAGAGCTGGGCAGTAGAGTCCAGGTCCTCTCCTTGGCATGTACCACGAGTCCAGGTCCTCTCCTTGGCACGTACCACGAGTCCAGGTCCTCTCCTTGGCACGTACCACGAGTGCATCACTGACAGAGCCTCTCATCTCTGACCCGGGATCTCCAGTGATAAAATGAAGGACTGTAGTGGATTCTGACCTGGGCCACTCCGGGCCTCCCTCGTACTGCTTGGCAGATTAGGTTACCCAGTGTCTGTCTGGTGATAAACTGTTGGAAGGTGGGATCTGGGTCTTCTTCATACCTTTGCTTTTTGTTTATTGAATCGAGTGTACAAACTTACTGCCTCTTTATTTGGTGACTGTGCATGTCCACATCTGGGCTTCTTTTAGGGAGGGTGACGTGTAATTGCAAAGGGAAGTTCCATGGCCATCTCATCTATCGACATGTTCCTGAATCTCTCCCCATTGTGTGGAGGGCCCAGCTTTCTCCCCAGCATTTTCATGTGTGTAGACCGTCTTCATCACTTTCAATATTGGACCTCTGAAGGCTTGAATAGATTCTTGAACATAAGACAGAGGAACTCTGCTATTTCCTACTGCATTTTTCTGGGTCCTCTGCAATTCTGTCCCCATGAGAGATTGCAGCTTCTTTTACCATTCAACACACTCTGCCGTTGTTGAATTAGAAACACCACAAAAATAAATGCTGACTGAGTGATCATTGTTTAGCTAGGCAGTGTGTGGGGATGGAGACCGAAGTACACGAGCATCAACATCAGAGTGTGTGCGCGAGTGCTTGTGTGTTTGTGTGTGTGTATGTGTGTGTGTGTGATGTGTGTGTGTGTATGAGTGTGTGTGAGTGTGTGTGCGAGTGCTTGTGTGTTTATGTGTGTGATTGTGTGTGTGTGCAAGTGCATGTGTGTTTGTGTGTGTGATGTGTGTGTATGTGTGTGATGTGTGTGTGTGTGCGAGTGCTTGTGTGTTTGTGTGTGTATGAGTGTGTGTGAGAGTGCGTGTGTGTGTATGTGCAAGTGCATGTTTGTGTGCGCGCGCGTGTATGAGTGTGTGTGTGTGTGAGTGCGTGTGTGTGTTCTAGAATCTTTGGCTCCTTTCACCCTTGCTTCTTCATTCCTGACTCTTATTTCACTGTTAATCCAGCTGGTAAACAAAGGTGAGGATTCACAGGCTGAAGGAGAAGGGAGCCGCCCATCCATGGACTTATTCAAGGCCATCTTTGCCAGCTCCTCAGAAGAAAAGTCCTCATCCTCTGAGGATGAGCAGGGTGACAGCGAGGATGACCAGGAGGGCACTGGGGAGGCCGACTTCAAAAGTCCTCAAGAGGCCGACTTGGTGGAAACCCCTGCGGCTCACAGTATGTCAGTGTTTTCAGACTTTGGGATGCAAATGACGATGTCTCTACAGCAGCTGCTGCTTTGTTTATAGCATGTAATTTTAAACCGGGATAATTATCAATCAGTGATGTTTTAATCTTTTTACATTTGTAATTGGGGTAGAGCTGAGTTCTGTTTTTTTTCTATCTGGTATAAATCTCTGGTATAGTTTTAGTATAGCTGTGTTTGAAAATGTTGATTTTCCTACTTATCTTAAATGAGAAGAATTAAAACAGTAAAATTTTCATTAAAAAAATAGCTTTTTCAAAAAAAAAAAGCTTTTTCTTTTTTTAAACCTGGTCGATGAGGAGGTGCTAGGATTCCTGGAAAACATTTGGTCGTGAAGTGAACAGGGCTCTTCCGGCTTTCCTCCCTGCAGGGCATCCTGTGTGCTCTGGGCCAGCCGTCACCTGGCATGGCCTGGGCCTTAGTAGCACTTGGTACATGGGGTCTGTTCTCCTCACTGTGAGGCTAACACTTGGTCAGTGGCTTGTCCCGCTCATTCCGTTTACCCCAGCCAGGGGTTGTGGCGTGGGAAAGGCGGTTGGCTGGCGCTTGACAACGGTGGGAGACTTTGCAGATGCTTGGGTGTCCTGTTTGCCCCTGTCCATCTCAGCCTTGGAGTGTCCTGTTTGCCCCTGCCAGTCTGGTGGACTCGGGCATAATTTGTGAGGGCCTTTAACCAAAAAGTGACATAGTGGTAGAAAATATTGTTAGTTCTTAAGTGATTGCAAATGTCAGCTGTTTCTTATTTCTGTGGAAAAAAACAAACAAACCCACCTTAGATTTTATTATGAAGTCATATATACTTGAATTTTAAAAGTGTAAAAATATCGAAAGCTTAAGTCCCTTGGAACCCTACGACATGGTGAACACTCTTATGCATATTTTTCCAGACTTCCCATTTTTAGCTCTTCTATCCAAAAATAGTCATCTCTTTTAAAAAAATGAGATGATTAATGTGAACGTAATAATTTATTTCTATTCAGTTTTTCTTCTCTTTGATAATTTATTTATTTTAATTAAATTTTTTTTTTTAAGATTTTATTGGGGAACTGGGGGAGGGGAACCGTGTTGGGGAATTGGGGAAGGGGACCAGCCAAGTTGTTGTTCTTCCATCATTGTTGTGGAGAGCACCGTCGCCATCTGGCTGCCTGTCAGCAGCTCATGGCCTCTAAGCTCAAGGTGCTGTATTCAATCTTAGTTGCGGGGGGCGTAGCCACCATCCCATGTGGGAGTCGAACCAGCAGCCTTGTTGTTAAGCGCACACACTCTACCCTCTGAGCCATCCAGGTGGCAGCTCAGCTCAAGGTGCCGAGTTCAGTCTTAGTTGCGGGTGGGCATAGCCTACTATCGAACAGGCAATCTTGTTGTTACCCCAGCTGAGCCATCCTGCCACCCGTTGGCAGCTCAGTGACAGCTCAGCTCGGGCGCAGCGTCACTGGCCCATGTGAGAATTGAACCGGCGGCCCTGTTGCTCAGAGCTCATGCTCTTAAGCCAACTCTTAACCAACTGAGCCACTCAGCTGGCCTGATCATTTATTTTGAGTGATCTTACGCTTTCTGAGCTGGGACATAGTCTCCGATCCCTGTTTGTAAGCTTTATTTTTCTCAGATAGCCCTTTTTCAAGGACATCTTTCAACCCTTCCTTCAGGTCGTTGTATGTGACCCAGAGTGTGTGCTGTACACACCCTTGTGTTCCAGCCACTGGCGCGCTTGGTTGCAGGTGCCCTTGTGTGACCGACCTCCCTGCTCTAATGCCCATGAGGCTAGATGTCAGGGCTGCGTGTTCACTGCTGTGTCCCAGCACCTGGCATGAGCGAGTTGAGCAAAGTGGTGAAGAAAAGCACACATTATCTCATGGCAACAGACATTGATTAAAGATGCAAACACATTATTATTTGGCAGATATATGAAATGAATACCCTGCTGTTTTTCAGCCAATGAGCTGGCCCCACAGGAGCCTGTAACTTCCTTCCTGATACCAAAGATGCAGATTGATGAAAGAGAAGAGTTCGGCCCACAGCTGCCTCCCGTCTTCTGCCCCAGTGAGTTGAGAGCTCCTTGGTTCTGTTTGCATTGGCACCAGAGTCTCCACTGAGATATGACAGCTCTAACTGTGTGACTTCCACCCTTCTAATCTAACATGAGGCCAACCAAATATATATGTTTGTTTCTGATTTATCTGTTCCCAGCCACATTTGGAAACTCATTACTCCACCTGGTACCTAAAATGGTAGTTGCTTTACAGCCTCAGAGACCTTTAAACTTTTTTTCTTTTTAACTTTCAGATACTTACAGTAGAGTCCTAAGTATCTCAGATGTTGTCACTTATAGAAATAAAGTAAAAGTGTACGACACAGGTAGGAGGGGAATTGCAGGGAGAAGGGTATTGTAAGACTTTTTATACTTTGGCTAATGGAACGAATAAAATAAAACATTCTTTCAGAAGCAAATACAGCCCATTCTTTTCCTCCAATAGCTGTTAACAATTTCTTTTCAGTGCCATCTTATATTGATATCTCACGTTAAAGTGTTTAGACTGGTTTTTCATCTCTTTGGAGGCTGGGTTAACAAACATCTGATAACATGGCCCAGGTATGTAAATAACATACAATTCTGTTATCTACTTTACAGTTTCCTATAGTGCCCACATATAAATATTGGTTTGGTTAATTAACCTAGCCTTCAAAGAGATGATAAGAAGCAGAGAGGAGTAAAAAGTGTGAAGTTTTGAAAAACAGCAGTGAGTGTATTTCTTATTTGCTTTAGTTATTCAAATCTTTAGCTTAACATAAGTGTGTCATCTCTTGAAAGCTAAGTTATTTATGCCCATTTCCCAGATTGTCATTAATATCCTTGTAATAGTTAATAATTTAATTTGGCCTATAGATTATTGAGGGCCAACGGTTTTCCACAAACTAGCATTAAAAAAAAAAAATGGGGAGAAGTAGAAAATTGCAGGCACCTGTTAACTGGGTTTGGAAAATATCCACACTTTTGAAATACTTTGGAATTTTTCTTTAGGTAGAAAAAGGTGATTTAATAATTTACAGTATTTTCTGCTGTGAATTTTTGCTGGTTTGGGTACCTGGCAATGAAAACATTTTGGTCAGTATTTGGAGGTGGAGAATTTAGGTGCCTGCCTCTTGTCATTTTAATGATTATCCATATACTGTGTTGCTATGGTGCTAGTTTTTTAGCGTTTCCACTTATAAGACAAATTCATGTCGAATGTGCTTTCATAAAGGGAAGATGGTCTGAGAGGAGCTGACATTTATGTGCCCAATTCTGGGTCATGGGATTCATGTACATGATCCCATCTAATCCTCTCTATGCCCCTAAGCAGATAGGGATTATTCTTATCTCTGTTTTATGAAGGGGAAACTGAGACCTGAAGAGGTTAAGCAACATGGCAAAGATCACAGAGCTGGCCACAGGGCTGAGGTTCAGACTGGTTTGTCTCTGAGCTTACCTGAGGATGTTAAATTACAAAAGGTGTGTGGGCATTCTGGTCTGACTTTATCTTCACCTGACGTCATCTGGTAGACAAGGCTGTGGCAAGATACTGGTTGGGTCACACAGCTTATGTTGAGGTTCCTGGCCTTTTCTAAATATAGAGCTAACACGTGATGTGCTAATCCATTTGTTTACCAGTGAGGCAGGGCAGGGGTTCTGCCTTAATGTTAAATATTAAGGCAGATTCCTAATTCAATAATTTAGCCTTTATTTTCTCCTGTAGTTTGTGTATTTATTATATTTGTATTTTAGATGCTCGTCAGAAACTTGAGGCTCCTCAAAAAGAGAAACATAAAAAGAACAAAGAAAAACACAAGACCAAGAAAGAGCACAAACGGAGGAAAGAGAAGGTGAGTAACTTCTGGGTGTCCTGGGATCTGACGCCCCTGCTTCTGTCAAGACAAACCCCCAGATGTGACACATGAAGCCTGTCAAAGGGAACATCTCGTCGCCAATATGGGGGCACCTGGGTTTCCTGACACCTTGATAGAAAAGTGTTGACCAGACAGTCAGTGTAAACCCTCGATTTTCAGAAACTGTTTTTCCTTCAGACAGAACATTTAAACTTGTTCAGCTGTACTTTAAAATTTTTTTTAATTTGCGAGCATTAAAAAGTATGAAAAAGAAAAAAAAAGTGTGAAAAAGGACATTTAAGATTCTTAGAGTAATGGTTGAATATTAAACAATGAAACAGTTTGGTTTGATCATTCATTCAATATTAAAGGAAGGTTTTGTTTTGAACATTTCTCAACTACTTTGTTATTACAACAGAGATGTTAGTCCATAGCTTGGCATTGGAAGTAGAGGAAACTGCACGAGTAGTGTGTGTGTTCGCAGTTGACGTCTCTTATCTCATTATCCATGTCTCCTTTTCTGTTAGGTACAGGCTTTTAATTCAGTTCATGTTTGTGTTGGGTACCCAAAGTGGTCTGGGAAGAAATGGGATTGATTAGAAACAGCTCCCTTATTGGTTGTCAGAAAAAAAGATTCCTGAGCATAGAAGATAAGGAGAGTTCTCTTGTACAGAAAGGAAAAAGACTGGTGCTGACAGGTTCTGAAACCACATTCACTGTCTCTGCTGTTCTCTGACTTTCTACCAGTTTCTCCTCTGTGAATTTCCAGAGTGCTTGCCATCCTGATGTGTAGTTTATCACATATGCCTAACAAAATGGACCAGTCACGGTCACAGGAGGTGGCAGGGGTCACCTTGGATAAGATGGGGCTAAGTGTGAAGACAATGTCCTGCCTACATCTGCTTGGTTCTGCTGTGCCTGTCACTAGAGGATCGATTCTATGCATGTGTGCACGGTGGAAAGTGTGCACAGCGGTACATTCCTGGTCTGTCCCATACTACATTAAAGCGTACCCCAAATTCCAAAAGGTTGTTTGTTTTTGTTTTTGAATGACTCCAGCAATCAACTGTCTCATTAGCCTATCATTGTACTGAACTAGGGAGGGAAACGTGTGTGTGTGTGTGTGTGTGTGTGTGTGTGTGTCTGTGTCTGTGTCTGTGTCTGCCTGCCACCAACTTTTATTTATTTATTTATTTTTTTAAGAAAAAGAAACACCGGAAGCACAAACACAAAGGAAAGCAAAAGAATAAAAAATCAGAGAAGAGTAGTAGTTCTGAGAGCACCGACAGCAGTGACAGCCAGAGTGATGAAGAAGGGACGGCAGACATGTCACCTCAGGAACTGCTGAGACGGTAGGCAACGGGAGACAGTGGTTTTCAGAAACCGTTCAAAGGCTCATTAAATTCATGATGTATTTGCTTTGAGGCAAATGTCAGAAATTATAAATTTGCGCATGAACTAGTCTTTTTTAAAAAGTTAATTTTTAATTACATAACTAATATGTGAATATATTATCATTGTGAAATTCATACCTTACAGATAAAACTTCACTTGACCCCTGATCAATTTTCTAAATCTCTCCTCTTTCCACAGTAACCTCTGCCATCAGTTTCATATGTAACTTTCAAGAATTTTTTGCACAACCACATACACGTAACATACGTATACACACATTTTGTTACGTATTTTTAATATAAATAATTTTATGTAGCATAAATCTATAGGGTATGAACATTTAGAATGAATAAATACAGCCCAACTGTTTCCAAAAGTGGCTGAATGCATTTAAATTATGAAAGCAACTGTATTACATCAATTACAAACCATACAAAAATGTTTGCCAGTATGATGGGTAAAGAATGGCACCTCATTTTTTTTGTTTTGTTTTTTTATAAATTTTATTGGGGGACAGCCATGGTCATTGGGTACACATTGCTTTCATGATACAATGGCACAGTTGACTCTTTTAGGGAGGGTACAGCTCACAGTGGCCCATGCGGGGGTTGAACTGGCAACCTTGGTGTTATGAGCACCACACTCTAACCAACTGAGCTAACCTGTCACCCCTGGCATCTCGTTTTAATTTGCATTTCCCAGATTATTAATGAGGTTGAGCATCCTTTACTGTGTGTCTCAGCCTTTGCCGTGTGTGAACTGCTTGCTCACATCCTTTGCAGTGTTCTGTTTTCTGTTAGATTATTTTACTGATTTTTAGGTACCATTTTACTGATTTGTAGGAATAAAAAATAATAATTCTGGATATTAATCCTTTGAGTTTTGGTGTTTTACCTATCATATGATTTTAACTGTATTTTTTGTGCCGAAGCTTTAATTTTTGGTGCACTCAAGTCTTCTTTGTTGGTATGTTTTACATTTTTGTCTTTTGAAAGCCTTCCCTAACTCAAGATTTTATATATGCATATAAACTATTCTCATGTTTTTATAGTTTTATTTTTCGTTTAATTTATTTGGAGTTTGTTTCTTGTTTTTTTGCAAACAGAGTAGGGTAGGCATCTAACTTGTCTTTCTCCAAATGGATAGCCAGTTGTATTATTCGTCAGCGTGAGTATAAGCTAGCTGTGCTTAAAAAGAACCCCTACATCCCAGTGGCATAGCACAGTGAAGTATTAAGAAAATTGAACTGTCTAGTTTTTTAGTTCACATCTAACTTTCTTTCTCTCTCTTTTATTTCCTTTTCCAGGTTAAAGAGTCTTCCACTAAGGAGGCAGTAATTGAGTTCTGCCCTGGCCTGTCCCAATACCACATCTCTATGATGGAAGCTTGTTGATTACTCAGTTACTACAGTGTACAGATTGTATTTATATGTAAATTCATGCTGTAAAATAATTTTTAAAACCTTGACATTTCAAAGGCTGCCTTGGAAGGTTGCAGAAATTGGTTTCTATTTTTAACTTCAGTTAGTGTCAAGGAAGATATTCAGACTGTGTACAGTTCAATTAAAATGAAATTTTTCTATTTTCTTTTTTTTAAAGATTTTTATTGGGGAATTGGGGGAAGGGGAACAGACAAATTGCTGTCCTTTTGTTTTTCTGTCTAGTTGTGGAGGACGTTGCTTCACTGGCCCAAATTGGCACCATCATTGCGCTCTTCCCGGGTGAGGCAGATCAGTCGCCGGCTTCTGGACGGCCGCTCACTGCGGCTGCTGGCCACTCACGCTGGCTGCTCTATATACGGTAGCCCATGGCAACCCACTGCCACAGGGGCTGCAGCCTTCGTCGCCAGCGACTCACGGCAGCCCAGCTCCAGGTTGAGCTGTTGTTCAGCATCTTAGCTGTAGAGGGCAGTGTCACTGGCCCTCATATGTGGGATGCAAACCGGGGCCCTCTGGCATCCCAAGTCAGTTCTTAACCATCGTGCCACTCATCCGGCCTGAAATTTTTCTGTTTTCCGCTTGATTTTATATTTCCTGAAACTTTAAAAAAATACATGAGAAGTGAAGAATTTTCCCTGGTTTTGTTATGAAGAAAGCCCAGTCCAGAGAAGGACGGTTGGACTTATTTCAGGGCTTGTACAAGAGGAAGGTAGGTGGTCGCTGGCTCTCCAGCTCCGGCAGTCTCCTGCGGAGTGTGACGCCTCCCTCCGGTGGTTGATGGTGGTGGCCAGGAGTCCAGTGTGGCACAGGGCCAGGATAATGGCAGGTGGCCCCAGCCTCTCAGAGTAGATGTCGCTAGTGTGTCTGAGGCACCGAGACCACGGGCGAGAGAATGTGCCCACTGAGTGGGCACTGATGAGACCTTTGAGAAAAGCACAGAGATTTTTTTACATTATCCTTTAACATCATAGAAAGAACAATTTTAAAAGGACAAAGAAGGAAGAAAAGTACTTTCTATCCACTCAGAGATGATGACCCCTAATATTTTGGAACATCCATCCTGCCTTTTTCTAGCAGTGGGACTGCTACCCGACTAGAAGTGACATTTTGGTCCGTTCTTTTCATGAGCACTGTGACAGATACTTCATTCGTGCTCTCATATCTTGTGTCCACGTGCCCCTAGTAGCTGCCTCTTAATTCATCCAGGGCCTATTCTCTGACTGACCATTTCTCTGTTGTTGACATGAATTGGGTTGGTCGGAAGCCCCTACACAGGCAGACGACACGCGGAAATCGGCTTGGGAAAGGGAGCCAGGAAGACCCGAAGGGAGGTTTGCGAGGATGAGGCCACTGGCTTCACCTGCTTTCACACACGTCGTTCCTTTTATGCGTAGAACTCGAAGCCTACTTTTCTGGTTAAAACCTCTCTTCTGTGATGAGAGGAGGCAGCGACATCTCCGGGCACCTGAGGGCACGTCGGTCCCGAGGGCCGGGCGTGGGCGCGTGGGCGCGCGGTGCCGCCGTTTGCGGTCAGGATCAGATGCCGGCCACTGGCAGGTGGGGCTCCAAGATGGCCTCCCAGCCACCGCATGCCCCCAGGTCCCCAAAAACCCAAGACAAAAACAGGAAGACCGAGCCCCAGGCACTTAGCATGCAGCTCCCCTTGGCCCCAGCCGCGGATGGAGCACGTGAGGCCCGCTGGGTGCCCTGGGCAGCCTTGAGCAAAGCCTATGGCCACTTTCACCTGTCGCTCATGGAGGGGCGGCGGGCCCGCGTTCTGGCCCGCCTCGACCCCCTGTACATAGACCTGGACTTGCCACCACCCCAGAAGCATCTGATGACTGAAAAGAAGTTGGGGGGCAACCAGGAGCCCTTCTCCAAGGTCAGAACCGCCTTCAAGGGGAGGGGGCGGTGGCTTGTCCCCTATCCACACGTGGGGAGGGCACAGGCCGGTGCGGGGACCCATGAGAGACCCACCTGGCTTTGCTAAGAGCCCCGGTGAAACCCTGGGCTCAAGCACCTGCCTGAGGCACGGCTACTGGGCAAAAGCTTGGAGGCAGATGCCCAGGAAGAGACGCCAGTGGGTGGCCCTGGGCTTCCTGCTGTCATTTCTGGGGAAATGGCTGGCCTGAGGTAGGAGGACTGTGTTCCAAAGCGGCTACCCCGATCCAACCCAGATCCTGTGGTCTCCGCTTGACCCTCCCCAATGTCCTCATGGTGACACTCCAAAGTGCATGCCCCAGGTTCAGTGAAGGAGTCCTCTCTACCCATTAAACAGAGCAGCAGAAGCAACAGAAAACTTAGAATAATAAAAACATAAAAACCTAGCAATACTACTTTGATATTTGAGAGACATCGCATTGATAAAACAAAGGCTGGCAGCCGGAAAGAGGAAATAATCTGTGAATGGAGAGAATTCATGGGAATGAGATGTAGGATTTCCAAACCCAAACCCTCTACAAAGGCTTTAACATCAGAGTGGAGACGTGAAACAGATTTTCAGAAAACAAGCTCATGGGATTCTCTGAGAACTCAGAGGAAAAAAATATAAAGGAACAATAATGATGAGAGAAAAGGCAAGGGGCATGTAGGGGAGATCCAGACGAGCCCATACACATAGAAGAGGTGTGGAGAGGAAGAGGAAAGAAATGCAGCAGGAAACAATGAAGAAACTCTCCCTGGGCTGAAGAAAAGACTGGAGAGAGTGCTCATGTGGAAAGAGATGTGAAGTTCAATGTAAGATTGCAGGGAAATAGGACCTACACGGTGAATGCCCACATGCATTCCAAGGATAGGAGCAAGGCTGTCCCACAAGTGGAAAAGCCTGGGATGAGCTTGAGATCCAGGCTCCCCCAGCCATCAGAAGACCTCGGAGCAGGGTCCACAACTGGGGTTGCCGGTTGGCTGACTGTCCAGTCCCCATCCCTGTCCTCCCTCACCTGGGGTCTCCATGAGGAAGTCTGAAGAAAAAGCAGAGTGAGTGCCAGGGCTTTGCTGTGCTTTTAGTTCTATTTATTCTGATTTTTAAGTAAAATGGAAGGAGAGCACAGAAATCGTATTTTATTTTATATTCTCAATAGAACATCCCCAAGATTCAAATTCAATATATATAAGTTCCTTTTAACAATTAAAAGTCTCCCTAGGACCTCTGTTCCCCAACTGCCCTGTTTTCCCCTAGAGGCAACACACGTTTCTAGTTTCTTTTGTGTTCTGACAGAGATATTTTATGCATTTACCAGCACATACTGGTACATGTATATTCCCCCTTTTTTACATATAGGCATACCTTAGATTCCTTCTGCACCTGGTTTTAATTTTTATTTTTTTAACGTAGTATATTTTAGAGCTCTTCCCATATCAATGAAGAAATAGCTTCCTTGTTCTTTTTTTACAGATAGTATCCCATTGGCTAGCTGTCCCCTGATGAAGTTAACCAGTCAGTCATCTGTGGATGCACATTCAGGTGGCTTGTGATTATTTTGGCCTGAGGTTTTCATGATCCATTAGATTGACAGAAGTTGAGAAGCTCTATAAGGCTCTGAGAGGGAAGTTTGTGATCTAAGAATTCTCTACTTGGCTAAACTGATGATGTCTGATAAGGGGAACAGAAAGACATTTTCTTCAGAGCTGCAAAGACGCCACAAGGATGCTTCTGTCTGAGGAACAAGTTACTCAAGGGAGCACTTTGGCAAATAAAACATCAGAATTTAGGAACTCAAGTAAGAAAGAGTGATTTAGGATAAACAGGGGAGCAGTGACTGAAAACAATATACTTTGGAGGTGTTTCTATAGTGAGGTTAATGTGATTGTGTTGCTCAATGAAAATGTCCCATGTCACAATTAAAAAATAATAATAATTGGCTCAAAACCTCCCCATGGCTTTCTGGAACATTAAAGGAGGAAGACCGTGGCCTTCCAGACCATTTCGAATCTGGCTCATCTCCCTGTTCTCTTTCTGACTTGCTGATTTTTAGGCAGGTCCTCTGGTGTCCCCTTCCACCGCGGCCTGCTCTGCTTCCCACCCCACCCCCCACCCTCTTCGCCCGGGGAGGCTCGCCGCGCCCGCCAGTCTAAAGCAGCCCTCCCATTTGCCTCTTCAAGGCTCTTGCCGTGACCTGGCACCACGTCCTGGCCATTGGGTGGCTGCCTCCCTCTCCCACGTCGGCCCCTCAGAGCAGGAACCTGTTCGGCCCCTGGCGGCACCCACACGCCCACCGGCGCTCACCCCTCCCGGATGGGGGTCTTTGCTCCTCCGTTCCGGGGCAACTATTATAGATCAAGGCCCGACAGGGGGATGCGCTCAAGACACACATTGAGCAAATGAAGGAACGCTACATATATAAAAGAGCTAAATTGTTCTGTTTTTACAAAAATTGGGCAGTCATTTTCGTTAGCGCCTCTGAAAAGAAATCCTCGCGCTTGGAACTTCTCTCCGCAGCTGCTCTGGGTGCCTTTCCCTAACGGACCCCAAAAGTACTAGGCGCAGACAAAAAAATCTGAAAGGAGGTCCCCAGAAAGGTCCGGATGGGGTTCGAAGGATTTCCCCCTCTTGCGGCTCTGCTCTCCCAGAATCAAGTCCTTATTTTTGTAAGGAAGAGGACTGCAAAGACCGGAGAGTTTTGCCAGGAGGCGGAGGCAGATGCACGAAGTCGTGGCCTGTGTGAGACTGGGGGCGTTTCACCCGGACTGCTCCCCTAACAGGCACCGCCCCAAGGGCCTTGCTGCAGGCCTGGTGTGCCTAACCCAACCCCGCCCCCGCCCTCCACCCTCTGCAGCACAGCTCGAAGCCACTCCTTTCTGTCTCGCATATTTCCTCACTTCCCTTCACACCCCAGACACCTGCACCCCACCATAGATGCCATCAGGGAGGGGGGGGGGTAGTAGAACATTTCAGGCTTGCTCTTTTTATCCTTTTTTTTTTAAACACTGCTTTATTGAGATATAATTCACACATCACACAATTCACCTACAGAAAGTGTACAGTTCAATGGCTTTTAGTGTATACACAGAGTTGTACAACCAGGACCATCATCATGTTAGGACATCTCATCATCCCAAAAGAAACCCCATTACCCATTAGCAGTCATTTTCCATTTCCCCTCAAACCATCTTCCCAACTTTAGGCAACTGCTCATTTACTTTCTTTT